CTAGGCCCGAAACGTCAGCCTCTCTGCTCCTATGATGCTGCTTGGCCTGCTGTGTTCATCCAGCCCTGCACCTTGTTGTCTCTTGTTTTCAATACTGATTTGGTTTCAAGTTATCTCCAACCTCAGTAAAATCTTAATTGCTTGCTGCTTTCAGTTGATGATGCGTTTTGATTGTGGGATCACTTAGATCTGTTTATTGCCTGAGAATCTGTTTTCAATACTGATTTGCATTCAAGTTATCTCCAACCTCAGTAAAATCTTAATTGTTTGCTGTTTTCAGTTGATGAAGAGTTATACCCAAAATATTAGCCTATCTATTCGCTTTACAGACATTAATAGGCCTTCTGAGCGTGTTCAGGCACTCCTATTTTTAAATTAATTAAATTTCTGAGACATTGGTTAAACAGTCTATTTCACTATTTTTTAAAAATCTATAGATCATCTGCAGTCTCTTGATTCCATGGTCTCCTTTCAACACAGCATTTTGAGGTTCCCAAAGCACCAACATAATGTAATGCACAACACAAAAACATCGGCCTTGCCTGTGATTTTCGTTATGTTTTGTACATCAAGTGGTATTTGGCTGGTTTGTTATGAAATGCTGGAACACAGGGTGTGCCACGTAGTATTTTAGGACACACTGCTGTTCAAACAGCACTGCGGTCTGTTTAAACTTGGAAGAGCAAAATGACCACCTCCCAAGTACAATAGGACACTAAATCATCAATAAGAATGATCTAATGCATACATTTTCAGAAGGTTGATTTGGGATGTTTATTTTCTACAACATATTTATTCCAGAAGTGGTTGGAGTGGATAAATGTGTACATGATAATCTTTCCCCTCAAGTTGTATTGTGTCTCACAATCCTCAACAGCCTGGAAAACATCTTACACTCACCTTTACCACCTTCATTGAAACATTCATGGAGATGTGTGAATAATTAACACATCTGAGAAACAGTATGTCAAAGTTACAGCAGCAAGGGAGGAGCAGTCTTGGTTGGTTTGCAATGGAATGCTGGAACAAAAAACATGCCAGTGTCATGACACAAGTGATTTCACTGTCCAATGTTTTATTGTTCCCGCATATTCTGTTCTCGGCTGTACCGAACAAATTTTACCTACGTGGGCCACGCATCCCATGGGGATTCTCTAGCTGTAACTATAGAGGCCAGTGGAACTTGCAGATAAACAACAACTGAATTTCTCACACCAGAAGTTTTACTGGTCTTTCAATGGACCACTTTAAATTCAACAGATTAGGCGATCTGTCATATCCACAGTAAAATTATATGAAATTAGACTAATTGACTTCACAACTAGTCCTGGAATACTCATTCTAAATACCCTTAATGACATACTGCTCCACATAAAGCAAGTTTTATTTTGCAGTCTCATAGTAAATAAATAACCACAACAATTCAAAATTATGACTGAAATGATGCAGAATGCACTGGCATTAGAAAAACATGAGATCCAAAGCTCCTACCAATAACTCTTCGTGCTTAAATTTATGTCATTCCTAATGACCATCAATATAGTCAAATTTTGAACATTTCAATTTGTTTGCAAAACATTGCCTTTACATTAGGTTTGCTTCAAAACCTGGACCTAAATTAAGATAAACTGGAATGATTTTGAACAAATTTAGCCAGAAATATCAACGCTAAGAAAAAGGTAATTAATCATACTTAGATGGCATGACAAATTTTGTTTTATGCAAAACATTGCCCAGATAATGTCCCAATGTGTGACTGAACCTTTGTCACAAAAATCCATGAGGAAGCAAGGAGCATTTGAACAATGGTTTCATTTTTGGCTCACATCTCAACGTCGTGATTGACCAGGAGAAGGTCTACGTGGGCCTGGACCTGGAGTCCCAGATCTTGGCTGTCCTGGTATATGCAAGGCTTGTCTTGGATTCGGTGGTTTTGTTACCACCATTCTTGGAGGTGGTGGTGCTAGTGTCATTTCTTTTCCATGTTTTCCATTAGCTCTTGCTGCTTCATTGGGTTGCTTTCCAACCACTATTTGATCTTTGTAAAAGGAAATGATAAAGTTTATCTCAAATAAAATTTGCTTGTCCTTTCTTTAAGTGTTTTATAATTAATCCTTGTAAAAATATGATAACTTTAAAAAGTTTTAATAAATATATGCAATCACTCATCCACAATATTATAGCTGTTTGTGCGCATGCACAGTGGGGTGGATGGAAGAATAGTCAAGGTAGTTGTTGGATCAATGAGTTTATAGTGAGTATTAATAGACAGTCAATTCCTCAGAAATAGAGACAGAGAGGTCAAGGGATGGAATGGATGGACCAAATGTGATGCATATGAAGAAAAATTGAACAGAAATTGGGAAAAAAAATGTAAATTAAATGTTTCAGTTCAGGTAGAGAGCAGAAACCCAGTCAGGTAAAACATTTGATATTTATGATTGCAAAAACAGAATAGAGAGAAAACAGATTGAACAGTTAAGGTGATGGAGAACAGAAGTGTTCTTAAAATAAGATTTATATGCTTTATTTGTATAGGTTTATAATAAAGCTACTTAAGATAACTATGTGATCTTATGATTGCAGCATTTGTCTTTGTATCAGCATTATAGGCTGCAAACATGAATAAATAATCATCCCAGAGATCAAACCATCTGCCCACTGCCCCCTGCCCACCTTTCATCAGACTGCAACTCAAATGCTGAATCGTGTAAATATTAGAGTTAACATAATAGAGATGGTTGCTCCATAGTGGTAATATAATTTTGACTTTACTATTCCAATTCGGGAGATAGATTGGATGAGAAAATTCAGTGAGCAAATTATTTTTCCATTATTTTCCAATTACCTCCAGCAGATTACAGCCATCAGACTACAAAATTTCATCCAATTTTCTCCAATATCTTGCAAAACTGTTGCAAAAATCACTGTTTGAAAAATTGCTCTTGCAATCAGAAAGGAGTGAATACAGACTTTAATTTGAATTGTTGCATTACATTAGTAAATATTTCCTGCAGATCTTTCAAAAATGGTCAGAAGTTAAAACTGTGAAACTCATTTCCAATGCAATATTACTCAATTGTAAAAGTTGCATTAAGCTAATATTCAAAGACTGCAGTTGTTTTACCCATAAAAAGATCAATCATATTTAATTGTGCGAACATTGGTATAATTACCAAATAAAGATTTAAGTGCCAAAGCCTTCTTAACATATCTATTTTTGTCCAAATTTTAAAATACATACAAAAGTCAACCTCTAAAATAAAGCTCTGATTCCAGCCCTTACCTGATTCAGGTTTGTTTACATTTACATTATTTGGTAAAAGATCTTCCAAATCTTGCAACATAGGATTGACAGTATTTTTATTGTTCCTTCTGTTCTTTTGTTCATCACGTAGCTGTTATGAAAGAAAAGGAATTCCATGATATTTTACAATGCCCTATTTTAAAATCTGACTGTACAGAATATTTCACAAATGCAAGTCTGTTCAAATGTAACACAAAAGATCCGCCTTATTCCCAATGAACAACGAATTGTGCTGGAGCTCAGTTCAGAATGTGACATAATACTGTTACTTATTAACTTCAAAGTTTAACTTATAATTTTCAATGTAATGCAAAGATATTTTAGTGAACTCTGATAGACAAGTTGTCTTTTTGCAATGCAAACAAAGCAGCCAAACTCTCATTGTGGTTTTAACTATATAGTTAGGCTGCAAACAAATGTCAAAAGTTATTTCACGAGTGCATCAACACATTAATTTTAACAATGCTGAAAAACAGTTCAGTTTCTAATCAGCTTTCTTTTCTTGTAGCTCAAACTTTGTTGAAGACACAAATGGAAGAAGTCCTCTTTCAGGAAGAAGTCTCATTCCTCTTTCTGTTCAGTATAACTCTGATGTGATAACTATTATCGTGAATTGAAAAGATTTTGCACCTATGTTGTAATCTTACCGTCACAGCACACATTCTATGTGATAACCAACACATTCGATTTGTAGAGTTAAAAAATAATGGAGTGGATTTTACAAGGCAATGGATTACCCAGCTCCTCCCAACATAAAAGTTGGTTGGCATGTTACCAACTAGAAATCCAGCTACCCTGCAGCAATATTATTCAGGCGAAACTTTAATTGATGACTGATTTAATTGAATTGCAACTTCAGTCCACATCAGAGAGGAAGCCCCGACCTGCCTGGCTGCTCTGTAGCCTTGCAGGGAGGGGGGCATCTCCAGAAAAAAGCAGCAGCCACTTCTGGGATTACAAGCACTTCAAAAAATGAACAGAATATGTCTCCCAGACATGAAATAATCTGAGTATTTTGATCAGGCTGGGCGTGGAAAACCCTGTGTGAAATGATAGGAATGGGGAGTTAGATGAGAAACATTGAAGGAGGATAGGGGAGCGTGGCATGATCTTGGGGATGGTGCCCTGCCTCCAGCCTATGCAACAGCAGCCTGATCAATTAAAGCTGCTGATTTGGTTTACTTCCTTCTGCGTTCCCCAAAAGGCCAAGAAAATCATAGCAGAGGAAGTATGAAGCTCTTAATGAGCTACTTACTAAGCTCATGGCTTGGTGAGCTGCCTCATGCATTACTTGCCCCCAAGTATGGGCTACTGGACAGGGTGGGTGGAAAGGTGGGGAGGGTTGGCCACCTACTCTATTTTATGATCCCAACTGCCGGCACATCTGCTGGTGGAGATGGGGAGATACATAAAACTCACCCCAATGTGTTCTTGAATCTCTCTGACAAAACTTTGTAAGCACAAGTCTATTGTTTATTTAAATCAAAATGTGGATCATAGTGTTCTGTGTGAAAAAATAGGGAGAAGTCCTATGTCAAATGCTGGCAAAAGCTATTCAAAAAATGTCAACGTTTACTTAAGTATCAGTTATGAGTGTGGGTGGTATTATGATACAAATTAGAACTGTTAAACACCACATACCTTTGGTTGCTAAAACAGAAGCTATGACTTAAAACTGTTGATTTTAATGCTTGATGTGCTGAGTGAAAATGTTTGGTGATGAAGGAGTGCCGCAGTATATAGGCTACCAAGAAAGCAGGCACAGACCTGCATGACTTACTGGTGGCCGTGATTTTATCACTGCATTTCCATTCATAACAGAACTCCCAAATACGAGAAGTCAGCATGAAAGAGCTATAGGATCCATTACAAAAAGCAAGCTACCCCACTTTCAGATTGTGATTGACTACATCCAATATTATGACAGGCTGTTGACTGATCACCACCACTACATCATGCAGGATTGTGCCTGCTTTCTTGGTAGTTTCATACTGCCTACATATTGTTGCAGTCTTCCATCAGCAAACTCTTTCACTCAGCACACCAAGTCAAAGGCTGCTCACTTGGAGACAAAGATGCAACACTGCAAAATGAATATGTGACAGCTAAGCAGAAGCATAACTTGACCTATGACACCACTAGTGCCATTATTGAGCAGACCATTGACATAAGCCAATGATTCTGCCAGCTGAACTGTTTGCTGCTTTCTGTTGTACAGTTCAAAAGTTGTACTAGATTGTGGTGATTGCTACTTATGGCATAGCATTGTCCTGCAATGGAGACAGATAACAAGAGCATGCATAGCAAGCAGACTTTTCAGAATTAGGTGAGGAAAATTCCAATCACGGTTAATTTGGAGGAGGAGCCGGAGGGCAACAACATCAGATTATGAACAAGGCTCTTTGGATTAATTGAACTCTCATCTACCCCAACATCCCAGCATTAACAATCCTGAACACTCTCTCCGTAAGTCTGTTCACAACCTTATACAGCCTGTTCACCTTGTTAGAAAATATTTCCAAACGTTGATCAACATTAATACGCATCTGATCTAAGACTAGAGATCAAAACGTCATCCCTTGATTCAAGAATCAAGTCTTCATGTGATGACAATCAACCCACAAATCTTTGAGTCCATGAGTTGGGATGTTCTACAAGGTAGTGCGATCCAGCATGCAGCATTTGCCTCCTTGCTTTTCCATCTTTGCTGACGCGCAGCCACGATATTAAGATGCCGTAAATCAATCATGATGCTGCTTGATGGGCAGGCTGACACCATTTTGAATAATCGGCAGCAAACTCTTCTCACTCATCAATATAAACACTGCTGTGATTCAAGGAGAACCACGGAGAGAAGGGCATCAGCCTCCAAACCTGCTCGTAAGAGAGCTGGTACAATCCAATTCTCCAGATTTTCAAAATTTCAGGATGCAAAATTTAGTTTCATTCTTGCATCATAAATCAAACATATAGAAAACTATACATGCTATATTTACTTAGTAGCTGTCAATGCGGGCTGAATATTTCTCAAAGTGAACATACCATTTGCATCTTCTTTTTTAGCTCCAAGTTAGCTGTTTCATATGTTTTCGAAGTGGCATTGAGATAGTATATGGCTAAACTGCAATTGAGTAGAATTAAAACATAGTCAGATACCTTAATATTTGATAATGTAGAATGCATTCTGTTAAAGATATACATTATACTCATGCAAAATGCTGACCCCTTTTCAGAACAATAATGAAGGCGATGACTGTTTAGTCAAATTAAATGGTGATAGTAAGCCTGTTCATAGTTAATCTAGCTCCATAAATGTTTCCTTCCAAAGTAAAAGGATTGCAAATGTGCAAGCCAACCATCCTAACTATTAGGGAAGGTTCACATCTGTAGTGATTTCATTGTTTACTCCATTGAGTTTCTGGTTTTGGAAAGAATTCCAATTTAAAAACAGTTGGCAGGAACTGTGTCACTAGGTGCTCATCCCAAGGTCCCACCTTTCCAAAGAGGCTTCAACTACAGCCTCGGTGCCCAAACTGAATCTCACCCAATCTGGTCCCTTTAGAAAGGGTGAAAATGAATCACAAGCCATAATTTTAATCTGCATCCAGACAGGTGGATTCCACGCAACTTTGAACTTATCAAGCCTTTGTCAGTAGAGTGGCTGAACTAGAGAGGTTCCAAGTGCTTCATCCCTAAGTCATGTTAGAATGTAATGTTCATTGCCCTCCTGATAAATGCCACAGAAATACAAAATCAGAAATTGCTGGACAAACTCAACAGGTCTGGCAGCATCTGTGAAGAGAAAACAGAGTTAATGTTCACATCCAGTGACCCTTCTTCAGAACTTGAAACCGCAGAAATATAGTCAGGGTTAAGGAATTTTGGCTCTCTTTCATTTTCTATTAATCTTAACTTTTGACCTATTTTGTATCAATTTGCATCCTTATCTTCTGAAGTGAATCATTTCATTGCATTTTGAAATAAACAAAGAATCCCACTCCCACTAGCCAGATTTATAAAATTACAGGCAACATCTTTTTTGGAAGTACAAAATGGACATTCTCTAACTAAGCAAAAAGCAAACAACCATTTCATTTGTTAGAAAATATTTCTGGATGCTTCATTTTTTTTAAGCCATAAAGGCAAGAAGTTTAGCTCCCCAAATGCTTTGATAAGTATTTGGTGTTAAGAAATGGGCAGCACAGGCAAGGCCAGCAATTATTGCACATAACTAATTGCTTCTTGAGAGCTTGGTAATGAGTTACTTTCTTGGACCACTGCAATAACATGTTTAATGCGTCATTGGATATTGTACTAAATCATATCGACATAAAGGTATCAGATTTAATTTTGCATTAGGTAACCTCAAACAGAGCACTGGGTTTGGAAAGGAGAAATGTCAGTCAGGATTCTTGTTCCTGATCTTCACCTATCCAATGACCCAGTCTGGAAAGCACGTGTCTTACAGTTATTTGGTATGGATAGAATATGGCTCAATTCACATGCTCTCCACAGCCAATTAGCTTGCTACATTCTAGGCTTTCATAAAGAACGGTCAATTGATATGACGTCGGTATGGAGCATCAGCACTAGACCGTCCATTAAATAGAAGCATGGTTTACAATGTTCCCATAATTATTAATTATGTGAATGAATAATTAATTATTATTGTTCAATTATTATTCCTCCTCCTATATCAGGCCCAGTGGAACCAGAATTTCACACATTTCAATCAAACTATTTGGAAATCAGCTGACTGTGGATAATCAAATAAAGTCATTTTCTGGACAACCAATTTATGCCAGTAACTTGGCTAGAAAACTTTCTGCCCATTAATGTCTTCTGGTGATGCAGAAAATTATTTGTTAATAATTTTCATTTTCCTTCCTTGCACATGTACCATGGGGTAGTTATTGTAAAGACAATAAAGCAATATGAAAGCAACAATAATGTGCTGAAGGGAAGTTTGACACATTTATTTACAATCTATTCACACTTTCTCCAAAAATATTAGCAGAGTAATCAATCACAGGCATACTATACTCAAGCCCAAACCTGCCTTCATCCAATATCTGCATATGCATTGACACTTTTCGCAGAAATTATTGGTTAGCAATCACAAGCAGGATCCCTGAACCATTTTACTCTCCTTTATCAATGTTGTCCATGGTCATTGCAGGTAAATTAGAATCAGTTGACAGTAAAGGTCTGGGATCAGACCTGGAATACAGCATATCCACATTACTCAGTCATTCACTGGGCAATTCATTGAGCCTTGGGGAGCAATTTAATGTAACTGGCCTAGAAATTCATACATTATCAATCACCTTGATCATCAGTAAAGTGATGGAAGGTGTCATCAACCATGCTATCATGCATTATCTACTCAGCAAAAACCTGCTCACTGACATTCAGTTTGTGTTCTGCCAGCATCACTCAATTCCTTGGTCCAAACATGGACATCAAGCCATTGAGACTAAGTGTGGTATAGAAGAGCCCAGCTGGAGGCAATGGAAATCAGGGGAAACTTTCTGCTGATTGGAGGTATACCTGGCACAATGGATGATGGTTGTTGCTGTTGGAGGTCAGTCATCTCAGCTCCAGGACATCTCTGCAGGAGTTCTTCAGGGTAGTATCCTAGGCCCAACCATCTTCAGCTTCTTCATCAATGATCTTCAAATCTTCGGGAGCGAGGATATCGCCGATGTTGCACAAAGTTCAGAACCATTTATGACTCCTCAGATACTGAAGCAGTCCATGTTCAGATGAAGCAAGACCTGGACAATATCCAGGCTTGAGGGCAGAAAACTGGCAAGTAACATTCATGCTACACAAATGCTTAGCAATGGCCATCTTCAATAAGGGACAAGCTAATCACTACCCCTTGATATTCAAAGGTGTTATCATCACTGAATCCCCTAGTATCAACAATCTGGGGTTACCATTTACCAGAAGCTCAACTGGTCTCACCATATAAATACAGTGACTACAACAGCAAGTCAGAGACTAAGAATATAGCAATAAGAAACTTATATCCTGACTCCCCAACACTTGATTACCCTCTACAAGGCACAATTATCTCGAGTTGCCGGTGTAGGACTGGGGCGGACAAAGTCAGAAGTCACACAACACCAGGTTATAGTCCAACAGATTATTTGAAATCACAAGCTTTCAGAGCGCTGTTCCTTCTTCAGGTGAGGATGAAGGCAGAAGGCAGGAGTGTGATGCCTGGATGAGTGCAGCTCCAACAACACTCAAGAAGCTTGACAACATTCAGGACAAAGCAGTCCTCTTGATTGGCACCACATCCACAATCAACTGTTCCTTCCACCACCAATGCCCAATAGCAGCAGTGAGTACTATCTACAAGATGTGCTGCAGAAATTCACTAAAGATCCTTAGACAGCACCTTCCAAGCCCATAACCACTTCCATCTAGAAGGACAAGGGCAGCAGATATATGGGAACAGCACCATCTGCAAGTTCCGCTCCAAGCCACTCACCATACTGACTTGGAAATATATCACTGTTCCCTTGCTGTTGCTGAGGCAAAATCCTGGAATTCCCTCCCTAATGGTGTTGTAGGTCTACCAACAGCACATGGATTACAGTGATTCAAGAAGGCAGTTCACTACAACCACCTCTTGAGGGCAATTAGTGATGGGCAATAAATGCTGGCCGAGCCAGTGTTGCTCACATCTCATGAGTGAATGAAAAAAAGAATTTCAGTGCCTGAAAATTGGCCCAACAAGGATTAATGGATTCCTTTTAAATTGAGCATTTCAAATTAAACCTTAAAATGGTTATTTAAAATGAAGTGCAATGAAAGGATTATATTTTGCAAATAACAAAGTTATAAAACAACATAGTTATTCATTAATCATTTATAGAATTAACATTAAAATTGAGTTACATCTGAAAATCAAACTCAAGAGTATATATTAATTGTAAACATGTCCCCTCAAGTAACATAGCTTGGTATGAGAGTACATTTTGATAAAGGTTGGGAGGAAATTCATCACAAGCCTCATTATAGAAACGTGCTTGAGAGGAACAATATATTTGATCCGCAGAAAGATCTAAAGATCCCTAAAAATTAACCTGCCTGTTTAACAAGGCAGCCAAATGTGGCCCATCCTGTTGATTTGACTGACTGAACTGCTCTCAGAGTTCATTTCACTGATAGAAAATTGTAATTTGTATTTCAAATTTGTGTATGAGTAAAACAGCTGAGACTCAGAGCTGACTGTACATTTGGTTTCACTTCTTGCCAATTCAATGATCTCCATGGTCAACCTGCATTTCAGTCAGAGAGGGGTGCTAACAGAATATGAGTTACCAGTCCAGTTTCGATCAGGATCCAATAAAGCACAACAATTAGGTGGCTTCTGTTTTGTATTTGCTTACAGAGGATACATTGAGCCAATCCATCTGGAAAAATAAATGATGCATTTACTGTAATTGTAATAACCATTGACGTGATTTTACTTTTGAAGTGTGTTCTACCATTCAAATGATTTGAGATTTTCCATTACAGACATGAAGTAAACATACTCACACCATAAGTAAGATTCCAGGAAGAATCAACCCTGGATTTGATGCGTAACTGAAGAGTTTTCCAATAAATGCTGGAAAATCATATTGGATTGTTTCCATAATAACTTCAAACATTTTAGCTTTCCCACTGTTGGTTAAGAAAAAGATTAAAAAGTGATCTAAATTACTTCAAAAAGTTCTAAGTTGAGGAGTATACTTCAGAGTAGAGCTATTTGATTGAATCATACAACCACGGAATCATACAATCATATGTATAGACGATCCTTTCAGCCCATCAAGTCTGTACCATCAAAGCTACATTAAATTGACACTAAATCTACACTACTCCCACCTTCTAGAACCTGTCCCATAGCCTTGAATGTTACAACATTTCAAGTGCTCATACAAGCAATTTTTAAAGGTTGTGAGGTTATCCATCTCAACTATCCTCCCAGGAAGGGCAGCACATGTTTAAAGGGCAGCAGAGTGGCTCAGTGACAAGCACTGCTGTTTCATAACACCAGGGACCCAGGTTCAATTCCAGCCTTGAGCGACTGTTTGTGTGGAGTTTGCACGTTCTCCCTGTGTCTGTGCGCGTTTCCTCCGAGTGCACCAGTTTCTTCCCACAGTCCAAAGATGTGCAGGTGAGGTGAATTGGTCATGCTTAATTGCCCATAGTGTGCAGGCTAAAGGGATGGGGTGGGAGTCTGGGATGCTGTTCAGAGGGTCAGTGCAGACTCGATGGGCCAAACGGCCTCTTTCCACACTCTAGTGGTTCCATAATTCCAAATGCATTCCAGAGCCTCACCACCTCCTGCATGAAAAATTGCTTCCTCTAATCCTCTTGCCTTTCAGCTTAAAATTATGTCCTATTGGTATTGACATATTTTAATTAACCTGCTCAGAGCTATTATTACACAGCTCTGGAGCAGATGGTACTTGAACTGATAGGCATCCTGGTCTGGAGATGGGGATGCTACCACTCAGCCACAAGACCCCTACCTACCAACTTTGCTAGTGACCCTTAACTAAGGGGAACTGCTGCTTTCTGTTCACTTTGACCATGCTTGCCATACGAAGAGTGGTTGATCACTCTGCGTTTGTATTCAATGGAGTTTAGAAGGATGAGAGTATGATATCACTGAGACTTAAGTACACTGAGAGGCCTGGATAGGGCGGACGTGGAGAAGATGTTTCCAGTAGTAGGAAAGATAAGGACCTGAGGTCACAGCCTCAGAGTGAAGGGATCACCCTTTAGAAGTGATATGAGGAGGAATTTCTCCAGCCAGAAGATGGTGAATCTGTGGAACTCATTGCCACAGGAGGCTGCAGAGGCCAGGTCATTGAGTGTATTTAAGACAGAGATTGCTAGATTCTCGATTATTAAGGGGATCGAGGGTTACAGGCGAAATGTAGGAGAATGGGATTAAGAAATGAATCAGACATGATCAAATGGTAAAGCCTCAATGGGCTGAATGGCCTATTTCTGCCCTAAACGTGTGGTTTTATGGTCTTATGGTCTCACATTCTTAAATATCTCTATCATGTCCCCCCTTAATCTTCTGTGCTCCGAAGATAACAACCCAAGCTTTGTGTAATTGGACATCACGGCGTCATTTGTTCATTATTAGCGTGCAAGCCACAGTTTACAGCTAGGGTCTTCATGTCATATTACTTCAATCCAAGAAGTGTCAATTTGATAAAACCTTTAATAATACTACCTAAAATAATTGACTGGAAGTCTCACAGTCCCTTATGATTTGACTACATGCCAAATATTTCTCTTCCCTTTAACATCAAATCTCCATGTCCAAGTCCATCCAAAATTTGGACTATACCCAAATATTTGGAACAATTTGCCCAGCAGTGCTCTCACATTCCTGCACAATTTATTGTCGAAAAGCCAATTTTTCTCTTATCTCCACACTCTTGCAATCGTTTCTAAAATATCCCGTACTAATAGCTATTTCTCAATTGCCTGGACATGTTGGCCATTTTGAATACAAGACTTATTATACAATATCTTTCTTTAACTTATTCTTTCAGAAGGGTTCAAAACTGTGATCTCCTTACCCCCATTCATTTTCCCTTATATTAAACACAGGTTTGACAATGTCAAAACATCTTCCCACCCCTAGCCCCATCTCTTAGCTATATGATTCAGTTATTGAACTTCCCTTCCCAAATGTAATAGAGTTTCAAATAATAATTTACTGAGAAGTGAAAATAAACCAGAAAACAGTCATTTGGTGCAACATTCAACAGAAATGACCTTGATAATTATTTAAGTTATGTCTACTGAAAGTTATGACCGGTAATAAATTGTGGTTTGCATATTACTATTCATACTAAATAACTGATGGTTCATCAGTACATAATCAATTATATCTTCTTTCTGAAATTAAACATCATGCAAGAAATTTGTTACACATAACATTTTTCAACATTTACAATCCCAATGGTACTGTTGCTCATCTTGCAGAAGACTAGTACTTGAATAATTATATGTACCATTTTGTTTGTATTTCAGGTCTGGACATTATTGGTTAGGCCAGCATTTAGTGCCCATCTCTACCCAGTGAACACTCAACCACATTGCTGTGGGTCCAGCCCAACATCTGGTGCCCATCTCTACCCAGTGAACAGTCAACCATAATGCTGTTGGTCTAGAGTCACATTTTAGTGCATACCAGATAAAAATGGCAGATTTCCTTCCCTAACAGACATTAGTAAATCTGATGAATTCTTATCTCAACCAACAGTTGTTACATAGCTGCCATTAGACTTGCTTTTTATTCCATATCTCTATTGACTTCAAGTTTTATCATCTTCCATGGTGGGATTTGAACCATGCCCCCCAGAACATTAGCCAGAGGATCAGATTACTGAGCTAGTGGCATTACCATTGCACAACTGTTTCACTGCCACTTCCTCTAGTATGGCTTGCACAAAGCTGTGTCTACAATATTTACAATGTTACAATGTCTAATCATTTTTTAAGACTATAAATTGACATAGACAAACCTCTATTAATTAATGTATAATAATTAATATACTCATTTATATAGCATGTTGTAATCAAATGGCAGAATAGGAATAAGGGACTGAATGACCTACTGCTGGTCCTTGATTCCTATTCTTCTACCCAAAACTCTATGAAAATACAGGAATAGAAATGTTGCTTGAGTCTATTAAGCATCATTTCAATAATATTGCCTATAGCAATGTCCAGGATCTCTAAGCATGTAGAATATTTCCTCTATAGCAGATAGAATTCACAGTGCACATTACCACTTCCAATCAGAGTATATTCCCATAAAAAGCTGAAGGAAACTTAAGGGCTGAATCTTATTTTTGACACAATCCAAGTTGTGTCAAACATTTTGGAGGGATTTCTGATGGGAGGGCTGATGGGGTTTCTTGCCGTATCTTACCAAACCAGCCTCAATGATTACCTACCTCACTCATATAGTATCTGTCACATAGAATTCTGCCCCATCTTATCACATGCTAGTCCCAGAACACTTGCCACTTAGCAGATGTACTCCAAAAGATTGGTATTGCTTGCGTCTGTGCTTTCTTTAAGAAAGCAGTCTGGGCACCCAGACAAACAATGACATTCCGAAGATGCCCAGCTCAGTACAAACCAAATCTAAATATGTCAGAAAAGGGGAAGATAGTATCGTGATTGTCAAATAGGGACCCGTAGGTATTGGTTGAGGGGCTAGAATAATGGAGAGGAGTCCTTTTCTCTGAGGACAGCAGAGGATGCCACAACGTTCATCCTTGTCAGAGGGTCCAAGATTGCTACCCAGATCATGCCCTTTCCAAGGTTTGGAGGAACTACCAGCAGTGCCATAAAAAGGTCATTGACCTTCTCTGCTGCATCAGGACGAGGGCCACAACTCTGCTCTCTGCTACCATCGCTCTAGTTCTGCTTCCACATGCACATTCCACCAACATTCATTCTTTGCCACTCATTTTCTGCAGTTACTTCCCTTACACCACATCCCACCGATCTCCCACAGCAGCAACCCTGCATGCCCTCTACATTGCCTGTTCACACACTCTGAACAACTTAGCACCTTTTTCTCAGCTGCAGCAGGACTTACAGACTCTTACAAGATTCCACCAATGATTTTATCTTTTTAAACTTAGATTATAGGCTACTCTTCAATTCAACCCTAAATTAATGCTCTACTTCAAATGGTTATTGATTTCTTGAATACCTGGTTGGGTCTAGGTGCATTAGAGCATACAGAGGTGTCAATTAAAGAATGTTATTGATAGGGGCATGTACCAGTGAGAAAATATGAGAAAATAAATTGTGGAGGTAAATTTCTAAGATGAAATATATTATTCAGTTTAATGCTACTAGCAAAACCAAAGTATATTGTAATAACAATGATTGCAAAAACATATTGGTTTGTAGACTTGAATATTTTCTCAGATGATATGTAGCAGTTCACCTCAGAAATGAATTAAAAATGCTTTTCTTTCAAATTCTGTTTGAGTGTGCTTCAGATATTTTATATTTTCCTTTATCTCAGAGGACTTGATAATCAAGGTCACATGTATTATTGTTGATCGTGGCATCATTATTCACTTGACAAATGAATGAACTAGATAAGCTGCACATGCAAGATCAGAACAATGTCAGTTTTTTTTCATTAATGGTGGAGTACACAGTGTACATAGGATGCATTGTGTTGCACAGCACTCCAACAAAGTAGAAAATGGTGTTTTAAACTATTATAAATAGTCATCAATTCTATAATCCAGACAACATTTATCAGCGTTAGTAATTGCACATGGGTAGAAGAACACCTGTATAATGCTTTTTCATAGTATCACGGGATGATTATGGTGCAGAAACGGGCCATTCCACCTGTTATGTTTGCACAAACTCTCTGAGCATTCTAATTTAATGTTAATTCCCAATCTCTTCCCATAACCCTGTACATTATTTCTATTTAAATAATCACCCAATGCCCTCTTGAATCCCTGTTAAATTTGCCTCCACCACATTCCCAGGCAGTGCATGCTAGACCCTATTTTCTCATTCCATGATTGCATCTTTCCCAAAACACTTTAAAACTCTTACCCTTTGGTTCTGGATCCTTTTACAAACAGTAACAATATTTCCCCATCTACTTTGTCAAAACTCCTCTTGATTTTGAATATTTCTAATTATTCTGATCTCAGCTTTTAAAGAAGACAGTCCTAACTTTTCCAATCTATCCTCATAATTGATGCGTTTCAACCCTGGAACCATTCTCATAAATCTTGAATTGTTAGTAGGGAACTCACTCAAAAGGAACTTAGACTGACAGCCAGCCTGACAATGTCACACTGTTAAATCTGGCATGATTTCTTGTTCAAGACAATTCCCATTAGAAGCATGGAATTGCTGAACTTTCCATCAAATTCTTTTTTACACCTTTACTTGGTACCATCAAAATTAGGCATGCACGTGAAATTTCCACAGAGGTTCCCCTGACCTCCCTCACAAACATTTGTAGAAGATAGTTACAACCTTGGAGAAATAGCTGTTGATGGTTATTCATCTAGAGTCTCCAATGATTTTATTGAATGACCCCAGATGGAATTCCCATTCACTTGGGGAGGCAACACCAAACTATAGCCCTGTGATTGACATAATCAATGGAAAGTGTACTGTAACCCTAAAGGGGAATGATTGGTTATTTTGACTCTGTGAAGGTCACTTCTGTAATACAAACAGCAATAGCTTACTAATTATATTACATCCATCAGACGACAGTCAACATTAACTCTACTGCAATCTTACACTTAGCTCACTTGTTTTTTGTTCAGATACTTTCATCTGACATAAACTTCATAGCAAGCATTACCCCTGTTGCAGCATTCAATATGAATGACCTTCCAATGTCAATTGAAGATCATTTTTTCAATCTTGCAATGGAACTATGTGCAAACAGTTTGAGTATTTTTGGTTCAAAAGTAGATTACATATCAATAAATTTTGGATATTGTACATTCATATATTGCAACATCTTGAATCTCTATTTACAAGTATTAATTAAAGTTACGTCCTACCACTTCGCAGATTTCTAATATTTCAAATGAGTGGTTCACTAAACATAAACGTACTCAGAGACTTCCACATTGCTGACAAATGGACAACCATTTGCCAGCAGAATTTTTTGAGCAATTAAACTCTAGTTTATGATACCTTGTGGCTCTGCCTTAATAAGATTGCCATGTGTAAGCTTTGTGCACCTCCATTTGGATTGCTAATGCCATGACAATAGCAATAATCTCAATAGGCAATAGGGGAAACTGTATTTGATGTGAATCTGAGAACCTATTTCTTTATCGGAAAGCTGCTAAATTGTGAGTCAGAAGCACACTAATCTGAGGAACATTCCAAACTTTATCAGTTTTGGCAAAGATCCTTAGTTACATTTTTTCATCAGCTATTTCAATCATTAACTGTACTTTCTGTATTCAGGTCACTAACTGCTAAATCAAAACCTGATGTGCATTCATTGATCTCCCAAGGCATTGTACACAAGGACTAAAGACAGAGGGCTCTCGACTTGACTTCATCACATGGCTAGTAATCTGGCAGACCAGATCAAATCCCTATGCGAGAACCTGCCTCCGTTTTTATTCCATTCAGTTATGCTGTAACTATACTCTCACACCTATGATGACAATATAAAGGATAATTAGAGTCTGACAAGTTCCCAATTTAAATGTGGACACAGGGTATTAAATTAGAATTGTTAACAGTAAGTGTATGAACAAATAATGTTTTTAAAATACACTTAACTCACCATGTTACTACAGTACTGAATATAGTAAGTCAAAAGTGAAATTGTTACTTCACCCAGATCTTTGAATTTTGTGAGCTCAACCTGAATTACTGAGTTTATGTATTTTCCGCTCATGCAGCTAATAGAATTTTATTTTAGTGGGGCTTGGGGATGAGCAAATTTATGGTTAACTTTCAGTGGATTGATAGCAGACCTCCTGTGCTCTCATTTACAATGTGAGACTGTGTGGAAGATTCATTTGTAATATATCAAGGGTCTTGCACATACCACACACTTCTGCAAGTGCTCTCACACCCTTATTGTTATAACACAATGTTTCCTCCAACATATGGTTGAAAACATCATGGAAGATCCACTTTGTTGAAAAGAATAGGTGCTAAAAGAGATTGAACGTCAGTTATGTCAGATGCAGCTCATATTTTTGTCTTTAAAATATAATGTCAAATACCTCAAGACTCTTTTTAATCATGAGATTTCATTCACAAGAATATTTTATAATAGCTCCAAGCCTGTTTATTATTGGTTACTCAAAGAAGATTAGGGAAGAAAATTCACACCATAAGATTGTAGATTATGACATGCTGTACAGAAGGGAGGCAAGACTACAACTATTTATAGCGAAATTGGATCAGTATATGAAAATGAAGGAAACAGAATGTGATGAGGAAGAGCTGAGAAATGGAAGTAAATTTTCTGAGAATAGTTAAAATCAGCATGAGTCTAGCTTATCTAATGAACTCCTAGTATAATCAAGACGATTCTATGATCATACTTATTAACATGAGCAGAATGAAAGTTGTGACATCATTTGAGCAATTAACATAATTGGATCCCATATTAACCTATGGTTTCTTGATAGAAAACATATCATCCTTATTGTATATTTCATGGTTGATGTAGATGTGAATAAAGGAATACAAAAAAAGAAAAAAAAAATTAATACATAATTTGGTCATGTAGGAGATAATATTTTACACTTAAAACAAAAAAAAATGCATTCTACACACATAATACTATCTTTTAAACTGATTACCTGAATGGTCCACAATCAAACGATGGGGTAAATGTCATTATTGTGTAGACAACTGGCAATAAGCTTAGGAACAAGATCAGCAGTAATAATGACATATAAAAATTATTCGATCCCGATGCCTTGAAAACTCTTGACTGAGGGACATTGCAACACATAACAGCCCAGCACTGAAAGTACATGGATGTCAACAGCCGTAGAATATTGATGCCAATTAAGCCAGGAGAATAGAAAGTCCCCATCCTGAAAAAAATCCATTATTCAGTCATGTAAAAACAACATATATGTAATTAAAAACAGTATTGACGCTATTCTTACTTAAATTTCCATTATTTTATATTTGTTCATAGAATGTGTGTATCTGTGGCAAGGCCAGTATCTATTTCCTAGCCCCAGTCACTTACTGTAGGTCTAGAGTCACACACAGGCCAGACAAAGCAAAGATGGCAGATTTCCTTCACTAAAGGATATTAGTGCACCATATGGGTTTTGACAACAACCACTAGCTGTCACACAGTTTTCATTAGACTAGCTTTTATTCCACTTTTTAACTCCATGTTCCCAAAGCATTAGCCAGGATTATTACTCCAGTGACATTATGACTACAGCATTGCTTCCCCTCAGAGTTGCCAATGTCTTCAGACATTTCAAACAAGTGAAATGAAATAGTTCTGACCTCTAATATTTCTGCAGTTCGATAATTCAACAGTACATTCCTAGAACATGTGATACTCTGTTTTTCCCCTTATTCACTAATGTTACAATTACCGATAAATTGTTTAACTGCATTAGCTTATCAACATTCTTTGCACGCTAGCATAGCAACCTTACTTGATTTTTGCTCTGTGCACCCTTTCTATCTTATTGAAAGACTGAGGGGCAATTTTTCCCATTTTGTGTTAAAGCATTTTGCCAAGTGAAATTCATGACGCCTGGTCCATTATGGCTCACAGCCACTGTTCTCTTCACTCTTCAATCTGTTAATAATGTAACCAAGCCCATGGGCACAGTTCTTGTGCAATTGCACGGCAGAAGAGGGAGTAATGCTTGCCATTGCCCGGACCTTCCAGTATTCAACCACTGGTGTCATGCTTAAAGTCCAACGGCTTACCACTTTAGATGTTGCAGGCCAGGAATTGCCCCTTACATTGCGGCTGTCCTCCATCATCACTGAGGTTATGGCCCAGAAAGCAAGGCTCGCTCTGCACTTTACAGGCAGGGACCTGGAGGTGGTGGTGAAGAGGAAAACAGTCCCTTTTTTCTTGCTGACTACCAAAGGAGGTCATGGCACCAGACCTAGCTAGACCAGACTCAGATAACGGCCCAGGTCAGTGATGTGTTCCTGTTTTAAGGGGGATGTTGAGGAGTGCAGGAGGAAGGCTGAAGATCTCCTGTGTTGTGAAATGTCACTATCTTCTCTCTGGTAGCTCACTCTCACAGGGCCTTCACCCACTGGAATGTTACCACTACACACTAAGGCTCCTGGACAATAACTCATTATTGCACATATCATGTCCACTCAATGGTTTTCACTCACTTATCCCCTTAAGGTTCTGACCTCTCCTGCCCTCTGCCTACTCAGTCAATGGAGACACCTCACACCACTCCAATTCCTGAATAACTGCTCTTCCATCCACTTCCTTAACATCCAACCCCACTCTTTCTCACATTTCAGGAAAAAAATGGCCCATCCCACACACTGATGCCTTCACAGCACTGTGTTCCATGGTCCAATCCCAGGCTGCAAGGGCTCAGAACTCTAAACCCTGGTAAAACCAAGGGTCTGTTTGACTGATATAGGAGGTTTGGTTAACAGGTTTGCAGATGACAACAAAATTGGTGGTGTAGTAGACAGTGAAGAAGGTTATCTCAGAGTTTAACAGGACCTTGATCAGATGGGCCAATGGGCTGAGGAGTGGCAGATGGAGTTTAATTTAGATAAATGTGAGGTGCTGTATTTTGAGAAGGCAAATCAGGGCAGGACTTACACATTTAATGGTAAGGTCCTGGGGAGTGTTGCTGAACCAAGAGGCCTTGGGGTGCAGGTTTATAGTTCCTTAAAAGTGGAGCCCCACGTAAATAGGATAGGAAGAAGGCATTTGGTATGCTTGTCTTTATTGGTCAGTGCATTGAATACAGGAGTTGGGAAGTCATTTTGCAGCTGTGCAGAACATTGGTTAGGCCACTTTTGGAAAACTGCATTCAATTCTGGTCTCCCCGCTATAGGAAAAATGTTGTGAAACTTTAAAGGGTTCAGAAAAGATTTACAAGAATGTTGCTAGGGTTGGAGGCTTTGAGCTATAGGGAGAGGCTGAATAGCTGGGGCTATTTTCCCTGGAGCGTCGGAGGCTGAGAGGTGACCTTATAGAGGTCTATAAAATCATGAGGGGAATGGATAGGGTGAATAGACAAGGTATTTTCCCTGGGGTAGGGGAGTCCAGAACCAGAGGGCATTGGTTTAAGATGAAAGGGAAAAGATTTAAAAGAGACCTAAGGAGCAACTTTTTCACGCAGAGGGTGGTGCATGTATGGAATGAGCTGCCAGATTTGCAATTTAATGGTCTGGGAACAGTCTTCAAAACCCACCATGGAAGATAGTCAAATTCAAATGCAGTATAAAAATACTGAAGCTAAAGGCTGATATAATAGCAACCATGGGGCAAATATTATGTTTTTTTGGCTGAGTCTGAGTTGCATTGGGTTTTTTTGAGGGTTTCTTGCTGCAAGGTCTAGTGAGTTATCTCAATGTATCTTACCAACGTGCCTCAACAACTGTAGACCACATCCCTACAGCATTCCTCATGTCTGACTTCCAGCCCTTCCTACCACACACTGCTGCTGGAACAGTTCACCACTTAGTGGATATCCCAGAATTCATTGCATCTCCTGTGCCCGTGCTAACTTAAAAAGCTCTTGTACAATCCCACAAGCACTGACAGTCTAGACCTGCTCTGCACAATTCCTGACATTTATCCCACACATGACAAACTAGGGGAATTCAGCTCATTGCTTTGTGGGAAGGATCTTCAATATCCTTTTGGATGGGGTGGCATCTATTGGACTTCCTCTTCGCCCTGGGACCAGCAATGGAGGCCATGACACTAGACCATGCCAGCCTGGTCCGAAGTTGCTACCTGCATTAGTGCAGTCTCAGCCATTTGGCGGAATGCCCAGTAATCTAAGAAGAAGGTCAATGTCTTTCTACAGTCCAAAAGCAGAGGTGCCACCCTCTTCTCCCCAATACCTTACATTCACTCCATTTCTGCAACTATACCCATCTCCCACTAACGGTCATGCTCTACCACTCTTGCTATTGACTACAATATGTTCCCTCACTTGCTGTCAACAAACCCAACCCTGACACCACTAACCCTGTATTCCATATGCATTAACTACTCACTTGCTCGTGGCATTTCCCCACAGCAATTACTGTGCCACCCACTTTCATCTTTTGAAATACATTTCTGTCTCTCATTCTATGAGGAGAACAGACCATAATAGAGTAGAAAGACTTAATACAAGTGATGTGCTGCCTATCATTTGGCTCCTCACACATTGTGAGGAGAGGACTCTGACTCTGACATCCACAAGCAGGTTGTGAACCGGTGTCAGAGGCTGCCTTTGACTTATCCCTGAGCAAAGGTATACTGACAATGATGACAAGTGTCCAGGCTTTGTATCTGCGCAAAACAGCGTGGCAAGCCAACAGTAATTTGAGCCTGGTATCACTGGCTGAGGGAACAAAGTGCAAAAAGGTAAGGCAAAGCAGTGCAAGGCAGGGATGCTGTGAGCATAGCAGGCAGACTCAAACTGAGTCAGCGATATGACAAAGAGTGATGATCCCTGAGACACAGATGTGGTGCAGAATATAGAAAAAAGAACAAAAATAGCCAGAACTAAATTTGTGAACATGAAGGATGCATTGACAACAAGAAAACTCAAGATTGCAACAAGAAAAAAAGAACTCAGACGATACTATGTTGGATCAACTTCCAAAATATTGGGATCTATTACAAAGGATGTGATAGGATTGCGCAAGATTTTGCAGGAAGTACCAATCTCTCACAGATTCAGACAGTTCTTTCAGAGCTCACAACTGTTAGGGGAAGCCAACCATGCCCCCTTTTTCACAGCACTCAGCCGCTGTACACTGAAATTTAGAGGTCCTGATGGCCATTTTGACATCTGCTGTCAAACGGTAAGTCCATCATGTCAATGTAAAGTTAGGGTGCTGGGAACAAAGGATGTTCAATTAGTCATGAGAAGGTTGCTAAGTTGAATAGGTAAGTAGGGTGGGAATAGAGTGCCAACTGGTTAGTGTATCAGCTAGGGAGGAGTTTCGGTGCCAGCTGGTGTAGATATATGGTGTCACTTGGGTAGGGTGCCAGGTGGGTAAGATCTCAGTGGAGAGGATGGTGTGGAAAGGGAATATGCTGCCAAGACTAGTTCTAAGATGGTAGCAGAGAAGCAAGGGCTGTGTGCACGCCCCTGCCTAGGGCTCATCCGCATCTATCTACTTTCTTTTTCTTTACTTTATACTTTTGTTCTTTCTCTTTTGTTATGTTCTCTTTGGCCGGTTAGTCGGCAGAATCGGCGTGGCAGCAAAAGCAGGCCATGTGCGGAGTGGCACTAGCGTGCCGGCAGTTGGGGGCAAGGGTTGGGGCGGGCGCAGCTCCTCCTGGCGATAGAAGGAGGCAGCAGCGGCAGCAAGGATATCCTTCCGGCATTCGGGCCTGGTGGCGGTGTTGGATAAATTCCTCCAGCGATCCACTTCAAGATGGTGGTGCTGGCAAGGCAACATCATGGAGGAGGGCAACCAGAGTGGGACTCTTGGCACTGTGAGGGCCTGGCCTGGCAGTAGAGCCAGGGACTCCTGGCTGCAGTAGGCCCAGAGCAGAGACTCCTAGTGTTATGGAGGTGGCAGTGGAGCCAGGGACTCCTGGACACGGGGTGAGTATGGTTTCAGCATAGGACTCGGCAGTATTGGCAAGGTGGGGCCAAGAGATGGCACCTAAAGTGTGGTAACTCATACAATGGTGGGTCCAGCGCAGGCGGTAGCAAGGCAGTGGAGGAGGGGTGGCAGCAAAGGTACCATTGGTGAGCTAGCTGAGTACCCATGGTGGAGATGGCAAAATGGAGATAGACTGTCTTTCAGTTTTATCTTCCTACTGTTTTTTATTCTTAAACTATTCAAAATGGCACCAGATTGTGACAACGGTTGAAGCTTTTCACTGAATTTTACC